CGCGCAGCTGCGCCTGCCCGACCCGCTGCCCCGCCTGCCCGGCCCCGTCCGCGCCGCCAGCCCCCACAGGTAACCCGCTGGCACGCGCGGGCACACGTGCGGGGGCGCGCGCAGGTCCTCACGCGGACGCGCATGTGCACCAGCACACGTGGGCGTGCACACAGGTGGTTCACATGCAGGGGCACACGGGTGCTTACATGGGTACACATGCACACTCACAGGTGCTCACATGGGTTTGCACACATGAGGCACACAGGTGCTCACACAGGTACACACACACACACACAGGTCCTCACATGGGTATGCACACGCAGGGGCGCACATGCACGCAGGGGTGCACACAGGTACATGTGCACACGCATAGGTCTGCATGTGCAGGGACACACAGGAGCACATGTGCACACAGGTGCTCACATGGGTATATGCGTACACACAGGTCCACACAGGTGCACGTGCACACACACAGGTACTCATGAGTATGTGGGTGCATGCATAGGTCCTCCCGTGGGTACACTCACAGACACACGGGTGGTTATGCAGGTGCTCACAGGTGCACAGGTACTCACATGGGCATGTGCGTGCACGCACGGGTCCTCACACAGGTATGCGCACATGCACAGGTACTCGTATGGGTATGCACATGCATGCACACAGGTACATGCACATGGGTACACACACACAGGAGCTCCTGGGTTTGGTGGTTCTGAGGGTCGAGCTGCTTGCTCAAGTGCATGGCTGTAGTTGGTGCATGGGGAGGCCGGGCCATGGGGGCATGTCTCACTGTGCACAGGCCAGACGGTGGCTGGGGCAACCACTGCTCTCCCCAGGTGCACAGCTCTGTGGCCAGGCACCTGGGGACCATCCTGGCTGGTAAAGCTGACTGGAGCCAGCCCCTCCTGCAGGCAGGACTAGCCACCAGGGACAGGTAGTCAGAGCCCAGATCCACGGGCACTTCTACCTGCTGCTGTTGGTCTGTCGTGCTTGTGGTCACTCTTCACCTTCTGGCTCAGTTTCTATGGCAAGGGGATGATGGTGGGGAGATATCACTGGTGCTCTTGGTTGCTGGGGCCAGTTCTAGCATAGGGAGTGGAGAGAAGCCCCTGGGTGCAGTCTCTAGCCCAGCTTCTCTGCACTGCTGTTGCCCTGAGATAGGCATTTGGAAGTGCTACGTGTGTTTTTTCTTCCTGGTTTACTGAGGGCACAACTCTTCATCCTACTGTTGTACCCCTGTGGGCGACAAAGGCCTCCTTGGGACTCTGGGGTGTTGTTCCCTGTCAGATTCTCCCCACCATTGAAGTCTCCTCAGGAAAAAGGGAAAACCAGCTGTTGCCTGTTCCTTTCTCCAAGGCTCTGGGACTGAGGACACATTGTGGGGGGGGTGTTAAAAGCGGGCTCCCAGGAGCTCCATCCAGTACAGCCCTACCCCTATGCGGGTGTGGAGGAGGCTTGGATTGGGATTTTCTTTGCCTATCTTCTGCCTGTCCACCAGGGCTCAGAGTTTTTTCTGCAGCTGGGAGCCTCTCCCCTCATTGCAGGCATACTTGCCCTTTGAACCCCGATCCTACATGGCCCTTGGGTACAATGGGTGTTTGCCAGTGGTGTGAGGCAACAAACTTAGTGGAGCTTACACCGTGTGTGTACTTGGACACGTCTTATTGAGCAATTGGTAGGAGAATGACTGGGATTTGGAGATGGGGGAGTATCTTCCTGATTTAGACTGCTAATGTCACTTCCTTGCCATAGCCATTCTGCTGTGCTTCCCTTGGAGTGTTTTAGGCTGATGCAGAAGAGGGTTTTGTCATAGGAAGGGCCCTATTTTGCAATAGAGCCATGTTCAGCTGCTGGGAGCTGCCCAGGCAAGCAGCAGCCTCCATGATGGGCTGGAGCAGCTGCAGGGGCATGCAGTATTGTCTCTGCACTGTCCGTATGGACCAGTGCTCCCTGTTTGTGTGCTGCTATGTCCCCATTTGAGTCCGTCTCACTCCAGCATCCCTCTGACAATTAGCTTTGACCCTGGGGCTTGTTAGAGGATCTGTCCCCCTGCATGTAAGTTTGCAAAGGTCCTGGCAGGCACGTGGTGGGTTGAAAAACTTGACTGGTTTTGCCATGTGGAGGGAAGAAAGGCTCCAGGAGCTGAGGGGTTACACATATGGTCCTTTGGAAACCGAGTATCTCCCCTCCAAAGACATATGAGCCTGGCCCTGGTGCTTGGCTGGTCATCTGGTGTAGCTAGTTCTCCCTGTCAGCCTGAAGGCACAGAGCCAGACAACAGGTTGCATTTGCTGCTGTCTTAACTCCAAAGGACACACTCAGGGAGTTGCAGGGATGGCCCAGCCTTTTTTGTTGCTGTATGACAGAGCAGCGTGTGATAGCTGGTTGCTGAGGTCAGTGAGAAACTTTCCCCACAGTGAGTGCCAGCACAGCAGGAGATGAAAGGGGAGCGATCTGCTTTGCAAGGCACTTCTTCTTTGGCCTTGGCACTTCCTCCTCCTGCCCTTGCTCGCTGCTTGCACTTCACTAGCCTTGGACAATGACCATTGCTACTTATGTAAGGGGAGGTACAGCCTTGGGGAAGCAGCTGATTTAGCCTCCCAGTTAGGCTGTCCATTAGCTCCCACCATTGGGGTGGGAGGGTAGAATCAGCCCCAAACGGTCCTGACTGAAATGCTAAACATAAGGGGTCAGGGGATGGTATGGTAAGTCTTCCTACCTGTGGGTTGAAGCAGCCAATCAGTCTCCAGACCCAGTGAGGCCAGTGCTGCCTGGGGATGCAGCTTTGTCATTTTGTGCCTCTGTTACAAGGTCCCCATGTCCTGGTTTCCCTTGCTGTTGCTGCCCTAACTGGCTTGGCTTTGCAGAGGGATCTTGGAAGGGACTTTTACCAGGTGCTCAGCATGTTTGCTAATGTACTTCCATTCCTCTGCCCTCCCAGGTTCCGCTACTACCAAAACGTTTGCACTCAGAGCTACTCGTACGTGTGGTGGGACTGGGCTCGCTGGGAGAAGGAGATTGACTGGATGGCACTTAGTGGCATCAACCTGGCACTGGCATTCACCGGGCAGGAGGCTATTTGGCAGAGGGTTGAGTATTTGCTTTGTGTCTTAAGGAAGGCCATGGGGTGGGGGCCTTGCTTGTGCTTCTTGGAAGACTTTGATTCCTCAGTGACTGGAATTGCATTTGGAGGTGTGTCAATTGCTTCCGGAGGATAGCGGTTGTGCCACTATCCTGGGTGGCCAAGGCTGCTGCCTCCTGTTCCCGACAGGAACCTGTTGCATTGCTGTTGCTGAGCGTGGAGCACATCCAAGCTAACATGCCTTGACATAGCCACACCTCAGTATTAGCAGCCTCGGGGCCACCCCGGAGGAGCCACAGAGGCTGAGGCTAACCCTGTCCTCTCACTGGAGCCCAAAAGTAGGCAGCTAGAAGCGCTGACTTGGCTCTCTGCATGCTTCCCTCCTCCCCCTTTGCTCCAGGTGTACCTGTCCTTGGGCCTGAACCAGTCAGAGATAGATGAGTACTTCACCGGGCCAGCCTTCCTGGCATGGAACCGCATGGGGAACCTGCACAAATGGGCAGGGCCGTTGCCTCATGCCTGGAACCTAAAGCAGCTCTACTTGCAGGTACCTGGCCTGGACTGTTGTGGGGAGTGGGGGAAGGGGTGGCAGTCAAGTAGATCAATGCACACATGTCCATCCTGATACATCCCCCTGCAAGGCCCAAGCATGCTGCTCTCTGCTTCAGCCAGGGAGAACTGCTGGAGAGCCCAAGGGCCTGCTGCTTCTCTCTGAGCTGAGAGTGCACCCTGGCCTATACTACATTTCCCCTTGGCCTGTGTCTGAGAGTTGTGGGACTCCAGCAGTGACTGCATGCACTGGCACATGCATAACCCAGCAAGGAGGTAGCCCAGTCCCCTCCAAGGGTTCCTGAACAGCATCTGCCTTCCTGTTTGAGCCACATGATGCTGTTGTTCCTCCTCTCTCCCAGTACAGGATCCTAGAGAGGATGCGATCATTGGGGATGATCCCAGTGCTGCCAGCCTTTGCGGGGCATGTGCCCCAGGGCATCTTGAGGTACGTGCCATGTGTACATGCTTCTGGGTGGGGCTTAAAGGGTACTGTTTAGCCCTGGCTTTATTCATGCTCCCTGATGAGTATCTGCCTGCTCCTCGGTGCATATAAGCAACTCTGAGCTATGACATGACCTTGTGTGTCAGGAAACAACAGAAACACTCCCTGCCTTCCCAGAGACCCCTGTAAAGCCTCTATAAGCTGGTCTTCTGGGTGGGCCTGGCTCTGTCTCTCTTCCATCTGTCTGTGGCAGTCTCTGGGGAAGTCTGTGGGCCTGGTGCATGGTGGAGATGCACAGGGCCCCAGTCCCTGCTCTTACTTCCTGACTGCATCTCTGCACTACAGGGTTTTCCCTCGAGTAAATGTCACTAGGCTTGGCAGCTGGGGCAACTTTGACTGCTCGTACTCGTGCTCCTACCTCCTGGACCCCCAGGACCCCATGTTCCAAGTGATTGGGACCCTCTTCTTGAAGGAGATGATCAAGGAATTTGGCACAGATCACATCTACAGTGCTGACACCTTCAACGAGATGAGGCCCCTTTCCTCTGACCCTGCCTACCTGTCGGGGGTTAGCGCTGCTGTCTTCC